TGCAGAATCAAAGCTTTCAAAACAAACTGTAAATTGAATATAAATGCAATTCACTCTTATGTAATTAAATAGTATAGCAAAAGGACAATAAAAACCTGACTTCTAAGGGTTAACTACCCTTAACCTTACTCAATGAAGCACACACCGCTCATATTGTTCATGGGTGCTCTAGAGATTTATTCTTCTGCACTGTGCTGCAGAATCACCCCTAAGCCTGACTTTGAGGGCCTGAGGCAGCCAGAAATACACAGTTACAATCAGCTGCAGTGTTTTACAAAGCTAGGAATAATATGTCACCTTGCATTTCTGGTTAGATTACCACAGACAGAATCATCGCAGAGAGAAATCCCGTGGCTGGTTGAAACAAGGACAATCATGACTACATGCGCACAAGGGATTTAGCGCAATCAGCAGAACACAACAGCTACACGAATGCAACAAATCCAGCCGCCACCCATTTTTCCACAGAAGCCTATCTAGCGTGACAATGTGACGCTAAGGTCTATCAGCAAACAAATCCCAAAAGCACTGAATGAAAATATCTGTATTCCTTTTAAACTGGGAGGTTTGAGAATACCTGTTATGTTCACACTGCTTTATGTGTTTACAAGGTGGCAAATTAACACCCGCCACCCATTAGGTAAATATTTATACTAAATGAGCAGATTAGCTTTACCCACCAGACACTGTGACGGGTTACCTAACAAACTAAATCGACTCAGGCTAATACTAACATTACTGAAAGCACAGACACAGCACTGCAAGCAAGATGAACAATATAGACAAAAATTTGATGTGGCATTAACTTTACAGGCCTTTTTAGGCCTTACTGGCGTATTCTAAGTAAAAACAAGTTAACACATCCTCTACAGCAGTGCTTTTCAACTTGTGGGCCGTGGCCCCCCCAGCAGGCTGTGGTGAGACTAGTAGGGGGCTGTTGGCAGCTTTTTAAAGTTTACTGCAATTTATAGACATTTATTCAAGCACATACAAATCATTCTACCGAACTGGTTCAAAACTTTTTGGACTTTCAACTGACTTGGACTTTAAAATCTTTTTGCTTTGAGTAATCCTTAATTATGATATTTTGAGTAGCTTAATTATGTTTATTTTATTAAAATAAATGATTGAACATTCCATTCCGTCACTATCAGAACAATAATAATGCCTCCAAAACGTTCAGATGTGACCATTTTAGCTCATTTGAGCATAATTCAAAAATGCTAGCCAGTGCATGACTAGCAAACAGTTTTGAACAGCTGACCAAACACAAAATAATAATATTAATATTATAATATTAGGAAAATGTGCTTCAAACGTAATCGCTAGAAGTTTGCTACTGGGACTTTGACTGGAACAGTGTTTTATATTATATATTCAATATCGTCTGTGATACTATGGGGCTGTTTTTCCTTCAAAGGCCCTGGGAACCTTGTTAGGATACATGGCAACATAAAATATAAAGACAAATCAAAATCTGTCTGCCTCTGTCAAGAAACTATAAATGGGTTTTTGTTGGATTTTCTCTTGCTATCTCTTGCTAAACTTGTTTTGTTTTTGTAAATATGACTTTGTAAAATTGGTTTTTTGTAAAAAATTTTTTTTAAATAAAACAGTCATAAGCAAAAATGTGAACATATTTTGTTGACTTTCTAAATGAAAATAAGTTAACACATTCTCTACATGGAACAAATGTAAATACTGCATTCTTCTGCAAAATGTTAGTGCGTAATTTCTGTTCTGCAGATAAACAGTAATCATGCATTAATATGTGCAGAAGTGTGTTCTCTGTAGAGGATTTGTTCACTAATTTTCACTTAGCAAATCAACAAAACATGTAATTTGACCTGGGGTGCCTGCATACGAGCGAACAGAATCTTAAATATTTAATGTTAATTACGGTCAAACTAATAACTTCACTTTTTTCTTTTGAAATCATAATGGGCTGATTAATTATGGAAATAATCATTAGTTGCAGGTCTATTTAAATGTAAGGCAACTTACACAAGACCTGGCCTCATAGCAGCAGCAGTACAAGTAGCAGTACTAGTAGCAGACTAGCAGCAGTAGCAGTAATAGCAGCAGTGCTAGTAGTAGTAGCAGAAATAGCAGTGGCAGAACTAGTATGGCAGTGGTAGTATTGTTAGTGGTAGCAGTAGAAGTAGTAGCAGTAGCAGTAGTAGTATGATAGCAGTATGATGTATAATTTTTTATTAACAAAAATCGAGTCAAACATAAGGTAAAATTTGGACACCAACTTGACACTGTGGCAAGTAGACCAACAATTGATTAAATACTCCCCTGCCCGTTCATATGGGTACGTCCCCTCGAAACGAAAAATCCCTTAGGTCATGCCATCAGATTACATCCAAGTTCTTTTCTCTCTCTCAGACACATACACTCTCACATACACACAAAATCAATATCGCTCCCTTTATTTTGGGCATTGTTTCCACACACACAGGGTTTGATACTGGTTCATATTATATTTCAACTTATCAGGCACACACAGCCTGTGGCAGACAGAGACCCTGAAAGAACAGATCAGCAGCAGAATTATGAGGGCAGAAAAAAACAAGCAAGAAAGTAAAATATGCCTCCCAGGAGAGGAGCATATTACCACCAACAGAACTCAACAATTAGCATCAGAAAAGCCTGCAAGGGTAAACACCTTAAAGACTTTTTATTGCCTCAAAATGCTGAAAGTTGTTCTAGTACACTGTGTCTGTGTGTGTCTGCATATGTATGTGAATATACACTACCAGTCAAAAGTTTAGAACACACTCATTTTCCAGGCTTATGGATGTTTACAAAGTTTAATGTCTCAACGTACTCTACAATTCACAATTAAAGCATAGAACATATAAATAATTGTAGCTAAAAAAACAATTAATGAAATCATTTTAACAAAATCAAAACAAAATCAAAACAAAATCACTGACTCATCAAAGCAGCCACCTTTTTTTAACCCAATTAGCTGCAAAATGCGGTGGTAGTTCCTTTGGTTCAGGGTGCCAGTCACTCTGGGCGAGTCGCTGGGCAATAAAAATCTAAAAATATTTAGCAAGACATTTTCTAGACAAAATCGTGAATATCAATAATATCTTCAGATTAGAGTTAACTTAGCTGCTCTATGCTCATTCAAGTAAAGTAAATTAAAAGGAATCATATTCTGAATCCAGCAAAAGAGCCTCAGTTCATCACATTTCCTCCACCATGTTTGACAGTTGAACCATCCCCTTTCCTTTACTCAATGTCGAACAAAAACCCTGCTTAATTATAATTTTTGATTCATAAGGCCATATTCCAGTTTTCAGTAGTCCACTGGCAGTGCTGCATGGTACAGGAAAGCCTCTCTTTTTTGCCATCGTAGCAATGTCTTTTTTAATGCCACTTGGTCTCTTCACAGTTGAAACTGAGACATGCTAACCTCGACCAGGGTTAAGGTATTGTCCTGTGAGTCAAGCTGCTGACTCTCAAACGTTTTCTAATTCTCTTGGGGTTTTGGGTCTGCTAGACCTCTTCATCAGAGTTTCTTCCATTTCTTTTTCAGTTTCTAAGTGTCTTTTGATTGTGTAAGGAACGGTAATCATGGACACCCTGGTTTTCTTAGCAATTTCACTAAAGAAATGTTTGCCTTTGTCAATCGCCTTTTTCTCATCATTACGATAACAATACACAACATCCTGCTGAACAATATTGCCCAAATCCTGCCCTGAGGGTGTAGTAACCCTGTTCTAACACTACTTTTATAAAGACAGAAGGCTGAACCAATGACTTGTTCCCTAAAAAAAGCCCTTTTTAACTCTGAAATTTATATTATTTTTCAGTTTTCAGTTCATTGTTCAGTCTTTTAAAACCTCTGATGCTTTATGACTTACCTTTGTACCACTGTACGTTATTCACTGGACTGCTTATATATCAATAGAAACTGGTAAAATGGGGGTAGATTGCATTGACTGGACACTCTATAAGAAACATCTATGATGTGGGTCCACTATAAAATGCTATATTACAGACTGTAGTCCATCTGTTGTAATTCACTATTTATCATCTGGCCTCCCCTATTCATTATGGGTCAGTTTCTATTTGTTCAAGACCACTGTTGATCAGATATTATTTGGAAGGTGGACCATTCTGTGATGCTGATATGGTAGTAAGGTTGAAAGTTTTTATATTGAAAACACAATTTTTGATCACAGAAACAGCAATTTTAGCTTACAGTTTCAACATCATCTTTGCTCTTAGTAGGCATACATACATAAAATGGAACATATTTTACAACATTACATATTTTCTCTTGCATGACAAAGTAGGCGGACTACCTAAAAATATCCAGCCAAAGAGCGACAGAAACTGACTTATGATGAACAAATACAGTCTCTAATTATACACCAGCAAGGTGGACCTACAGGGTAGGGGTTTCTAATAAAGTGTGTGTGTATGTGTGTGTATGAATATATATTGTAACTACACTTAATGTTCAAAAGTTTATGTAGACAGCTGCTAGTCTAATGTTTCTTCTAAAATGAAGGTTATTAATAGGGAGTTTGTCCACACTTTACTGCAGTAACAGTCTCTACTCTTCTGTGAACACAAGACATTGATACATTGCTGTGAGGATTTGCTTGCATTCAGACACAAGAGCATTAATGAGGTTCTGAGTCACAAACACCACTCCAACTCAACCATAAGGTACTGAGTGGGTTTCCATCATAGATAACACAGTTCCACTACTTTACACTCTAATGTTGGAGGGCTTTAGATCCCGATATTTGGCACATGAAGACCTAAGCCTCCTGTAAGGCTGCTCCAGAGCTTCCTATTCTATTGGCAATGCTTTTTAATGGAGATTACACAAGCAAAGGGTGTAACTGAAAGCCTGTGCCAGCAAAGCAGTAGTGAAAGAAAGAGGTAAAGTAGCTAAATTCACTAATTGGAAGGAGATACTTCTGGACATATAAAGTGGCGTATGTGTGTTTGTGTAAGTATATACACACCGTCTCTCCCCGGGAGCCCCCTCTCTTTCTTGTCATCACACTTGTTGCACTCGCTGAAGTAAAGGAGGATGAACATGTCCAGCATCACCCACACCAGAGAGGTAGCCAGCACTACCTTACAGTACGCGAACTTCCTCATCTTCACACCTGGAACACAGAAAGAGAAGGTGTCACACACACCCATGAAAGATGCACATACGCACTCTTCCTTATCTTCATACCAGTAAAACAGCACTGAAATTCAGTCAAAGATATTAGTAATGTCAGCTGTAAGTCTATATAACACGTTCTTTCAGAGATGGGACTACTTTTACAGAGGAAAGAATCTGTGGCAAAAGGTAAGGTCTGACTGACATGTTTTAATGAGCACTATTACATGACACTCTAATGCTAAAGATTGGGTTTTGATATGTTTTGGATGTTTTGGTTATTCTAACCATGATGGAGTTTTGTGTTTAAATTCACTAGTTTGTATTGTTGTGAAAGAGAAAACGGTTTGGCAGTAAAAAAAATATTAAATATATCTACAAAGAAAATGAGAAATAGTTATTAAAAACACAGCTCGCTGAAGAGCACAGACATATTCAAACAGTTTGAGCGGCACCAGATCGGGGGGGACTACATTGTAAAACTATTTAACAGTTTCTACAGGAGACATTAGATAAGCAGTTTCTAATCACAGTTCATGTTAAGTATTAAGAGAGGGTACAATGCTCAAGAACTTCGCCACTACAGACTGATACGACCACTTGATACACAGAACACAGCAAAACAACACAAGCAGAAAGTCCCTGCAAGCATGCCAAAGCCATCTGGTTCATCTCATGCCTCAGGTTTTGAAATGAGGATCACAAACAACAGAGAAAAAGTGCAAAGTATAGCAAGAAAAATTGTGTTCAAGTTTAGTAAAGTTTATTTTGTGTTTTGTGTAAGTTTAATTTACTCAGTTTTGTCCTATTGAACGCAAATTTCTATCAATAATAAATTGCTAGCAGAAAGTTCTTTGTTACCTTGTAGTTCTTTTTTTTAGTAAATTAACAAAGTAGTTAAGTTTTTGGCTAAATGTGTCTTGAAATTCAGTTTTGGTTTCAGCCAGAATTTGTTTCATTTCACTGCATAGTAATTATTGGTGATTTCTTTGCCGAAACCAATTAAACTGCTGGTTGTCAATATAACTAATATATTGGTCGGGCTACTATTTACTAACGTCTCTTATCTTTGGGTCAGTATGACCCCAGCAGTCTAAATCTCAAGGAAATATCAAAGTTCTGGTGGGAATTACATTCCCCCTCCCCTACAGAGTGTGAATCAGTGAGTCTCACACTACAACAGGTATAGTTATGTTAGTTTATGGCCCTAAAGTGGGAGGAAATTTTTCGAAAATTTAAATTACATGTCATAGTGACCTCAATGTCATCCAAAACAACCAAAACAAATGTGTGTAAAATGCTGATATTTCTTATGTTTTAGACAGCTAAAACAGCCCGGGTCAAATGGATTCAAAGAACACCATTGATGTGTACAGGACATTGAACACATACCATGTTCCTTTTATGTTTACCCAGCTGTCCCCATCAAAATAAAGAAAAGGAAAAGTCATTAAATATGAAGGAAACTATTATGTTAATCATTTATTTAGAAACATTAAACATTGAATGGGGTCAAACTGACCCAAAAAATAATAGGCGGGTTAAGCTACCAGTGTCCTACTGCCCTACTGTACCTATATGCTAGAAAAAACATTTTGGTAAGACAGTCTCTCAGGTCTGCCTCATCATTCATTAGAATGTAGCGGTTGTAGTTTAGAACTTGCGTTACAGATTATTTAACGGCTGGATTCTTAGTGAATTTTGAGTCAAGTATTCTGTTCTTCTGTAAATAAAGGAAACCTGTTGCAATTATTGTCCAGGTAATCAACAGTATGACACAGATGTGACACACAGAGATTAGGTTGAAAAACATCATGGTATTCCAGAAAAACACCACACAATAGTCTTCCAACGTAAGTCATACATCAATTAAATGATTAAGAGTGATTAATAATGACTGGTCAAATAATACAATGTGACCTTTGCCCTGAGGGAGGGCTAAAATCTGCCTGCCTTCATTTTGTCACATTTCGTCAATAATGAACTGTGCAAGTATAATTAATCATGCTAATTAACCTGGGCATTAAGAGTGATGGAAAAAAGAAGGAAGAAACAAGAAAATGAAGGAATATGGAGCCAAGGTTAGAGAGAGATGTGAGCAGTCATGTATGTAAGGACCTGATAAAGGAAACATGACAGTATCTCTACGCTATGGAATGAACGCACACACACACACACACACACACACACACACACACACACACACACACATACACGTGCATGCGTGTTCAGGAGACCTGAATGAACCATAGAAGTGAAGGAAAAAAGAAAGTAGCTCTGCTGTACATCAAGGCCTGTCCTTTTCTTTTTCTCTCCAAATCCATTCTGCTTTGTGTGTGAGTGTACTACACCTATTTCTTTCTCTGATGTGTGTGTAGGAGTCAGGTTGTCTTCTAGGCTGCCGCTGACAGAATACAAAGCTAAAAGTTCCCTCCTTTTCCCGTCTACACTCTCTCTCTCTCTCTCTCTCTGTCTCTATTCTCTCTCATTCACTCCTGAGAGCGGCACTGAGGACACTCCTGCCAAACTTCACACACAGCCTCTCTTGCTAAGCCTATAGAGTGCTTTCAAGTATTTGTGTGTGCACGAGTGTGTGTGTATTGTGCTGCTTCTCTTTGTAGTGTGTGTGAAGAAATCACAGCACACTCTGCTGTGCAGCTCACAGAGACATTTTTGGAAAAAGAGATAAGATTTGGAAGGAGACAGAGAGAAAGAGAAAAGGATCCTGGGAAGTCCAGCCCTAGTCCTCCCCTCTCACTCTCTCTTTCTCTTTCTCTCGCTTTCTCTCTCTCACAACCACGCACAGATTCATGCAGCAGAATCAGAGCAAACTGTCACAAACAGTGAGCGATCTCAGCTGCTAAACCAATTCAGGTCGGAGCCGAACGTCAGTGACAGTAACGTGACTATGACTGACAACACAACACCACATGACCTCCATTGAGAGAATTTAATATATACTAAACTGCACATTTAATCAGAATATAAGAGTGAGTGAAAAGAAAGAAAGAAAAAACAAAAGAAAGAGATACATGCAGTATGACATACAAAATGCAAAAGCAAAGTAGGAGAGACAGGAAGAAAGAAGTAAAACAAAGAAAACAAAAAAGAAAGTGAAAGTAAAAAAACAAGGAAAAAGAAACAAATAAAAAAAGATGTGAAACAAAAAGAACAAACGAGGGAAAGAAAAAAGAATGAAAGAGGAAAAGAAAGAACGAAAGAGTGAAAGGAAAGAGCGAAAGAACGAAAGAGAGGGAGCGAGACAGATACAGAAGGAGAAAGCGTACGTATGTGTGAAGGTTATGACTGGCACAGTGAGAAATGCCACCGTCCTGGTGGCCCTCGTCCATCACCGCGGCAACACCAGAGGCTCTTGCCCACTTCAGCCTGACCAAACATTCATCACCCTGACAACACCCATACACACACACACCTGTGGGCACAAGCCTGTGGGATATACAAACACATTAAATCTCATACACACACATACACACACTCACACACACACAATCACACAGAGTAGAGATTTATGATTTCAGATTTATTGGTCTTGAGATGGAATCTGTCCTGCTACAAGTTAAACGTAATAAGTATTAGTTATGGATTGGATATGTTCCGACACAGGTCGCTTTTAGAATTCAGCAATTTAGAAGTCTGCAGTTATTACTGCTATTTTGCTACACTGTTCAAATGGAAAATGTTAAATGACATAATTCATTACGTAGATAGGATTCCTATTCAGGGTCAGCTCAATAGAAAGCAAGAGTGGTTGAAATCAAGTCCGTTCCTTGGACAAACAGTTTTAATCTTCATATTGATCCATGTACTATGAAGACATGACTGAGAAAAAGCATAACTACACATTCTGCATTACTCAAACCAGAATAGTAAAATCTACAGGTTGCCTATAAAGAAAGCTTAACAATGCAGAAACCTGCATTTTCCTTAGGGTTTTGGGGGGGAGGGGTGGTGTTTTGGTGTTTTGATGTAGTATGAAAATGCTGTCAAAGCTTTAAAACATTAAACAATGCATGTCCCAGTTCTTACAGTCTATAAATGAAAACTATGCAGCAGCCCTTTTTGAATAAATAGGTTTTATGATGTCACAAAAGTCAACACATTTACAAATACCCACCTATTCAGCCTATAGCCCTGCCTGTTCAAAACAAAAATATAAGTTAAAGCTTAACCTTCATTAGGCGTGTCAGGATAATGTTAATATTCATTTTTTTGATACTGTGGTTGTGAATTGATACACACTGTGAACTGAATATAGTTAGATTTCATGCTAAAAAAGCATGAAACCAGGAAGGGTTTCCATAGGTCTATTTAACACAATCCCTGATACTGGCTGTCGATACTGGAAAAAACTGGTTTATCTAGCCTACCTTGGATGTTTGATTAACCCAGCTGTTTAAAATGGTGAGACTTCTCAGTCAAATACAACAGTGATGACAATAATGAGCAAAATATGTTGGTAGACATACACAAACACAGATAAAGGTCTCATTTCGGAATGAACAATTTGGGCAAAATATCTAATTGCAATCGGTGTGCTAACCAAGCTATCCTTAGCTTAGCCAAAATGCTACTATCCCCAACACCACAGGACAGGTTCGCTTTATGCTTTCTGTCACTCCAACACCAGGCACTCAACTTTTTCTCTCTTAGACATTAGTTTTTATTGTCTACTCTTACATCAGGAGAACACCAGTTAGTCATAATCAGACCTGTACAGTGGTGTGTGGCATGCTGATCAGGCTACAAATCCAAACACCACAAAACAGGTTTTTTCACCCTTCTGTCCCTTCAAAGCCAGTTGCTTGACTTTCTTTTCCTACATTTGAATCATTATCCTCTAAATTTGTCAGTGCCTTAGTTAGCCAAAATCAAAACATGTTCTTTTGTGAGTGGAGCTGTTGTAATACTAACCAGCTAGCAGTGCTGTTTTACATTTAACATCTGTTAGATACACTGTTTTACATCTACTGAATGATG